CCCCCAGCAGCAGCAACAGCAGCAGCAGCAGCAACAGCAGCAGCAGCAGCAACCTCAGCTGGTCCCACAGCTGAAGCCACAGCAGCAAGAGAGAAAGGAGGAGAGGAAGGAGGAGAGGAAAGAGGAGAGGAAGGAGGAGAAGGACACCTCTGCCTCCCAGGAACCCCCTGAGGCCCTCGAGGCCCAGAGGGGAGCAGAGGAAGCTCCCGTGCAAGAGGCAGCCCCAGAGTCTGAGCCCCCAAAACCGGCTGAGAGGTAGGAGGAGGGACTGATCTGCCCTGGGATGGCACCGTGCCTGGTGGCACTGAGGATGCTCTGGAGGTGGCTCAAGGCTGGGGCTGGTGCCAGGGGGCAGGACGAGGCACCTTGTGTGGTCTCTGGAGCTTTTCCAGGTGCCTGAGGCATTGAGATGAGGGAAACCCAGCTTGTGCCCCTCAGGCAAGGGCCAGCCCCCTCGGGCACACTGCCCTGGCCCAGCCACCCCCATGCTGAGCAGGGCTCAAGGTGTTTAAGAACCTGCCAGGGCTATGGGTCTGCAGGTTTATAACCTGGGACAAACCTGGGGCTGGGGAAAGTGGAGGCTTGAGGCTGCAATTCCTCTCCTCTGGCTCAAGTTTTTGGCTCCCTGGATGGAGGGGGTACCCTGGAGCTCGGTCAGATGAGGAAATTTCCATCCACAGGAGCCAGTCCTCTCCCTAGGCCACTCCATGGCCTTCTGTGCTGTGAATTAGTTGGTGGCCAGGTTCCTGGTTCAGCATGTGAATAATTCATATCTCGGGGACAGATTATTCAAATGTCATTGTTGACCATTTCCATTTTCAGTGACCATCACCCCTCCCTGAAGAGGGGAACTGTGATGGGCTTTTTCAGTCTTTTATTTAGTTTAAATTATAGACCAGAGCTGGGGAATCTCTAATTTAAAAGAATGTGCAGAGAGCTGTTTTTTTTTAAAATACATATTTGGGCCCAAGGGCTGGTGGGAGCCTGGGCACAGGTGGCCTCAGATCAAGGTGCCCACTGGGCAGGGGGTCCCATGTTGGGAATTGGGGACCATGGATTAGTGCTGGGGACACCAGTTTAGCACTGGGGACCATGGACTGTTCTGGGACCCCATATTAGTGCTGAGGACCCCAGGTTGACATTGATGACCCCAGATTATCACTGAGGACAGCAGATTAGCTCTGGGGGCCATTGGTTAGTGCTGGGGACCACAAATTAATGCTGACAACCCCAGATTAGCACTGGGGACCCCAGATTAGCATAGGCAGAGACCCCAGGGCTGGTTTGGGCAGGTTCATCTCCTGAGCTCCCCAGAGCTTTGTCCCAGGATAGTTTTGGGTCTCTCTCTCCAGTGTTATGTCACAGCAGGGTCTCAAGGAGGCTGTTGTGTTTGGAGAATTTCTTTTCTTTTCCTCTATGTCTTCATTTTGCAGGAGAGGAGAAAAAAACCCCACAACACCCAATATGTCCAGGTGAACAGTTTTCCCTGGGGTGTTGGGGGTTCTTTACCCCAGGCTGTTGTGGTGGGAAGAGGCCAGAGAACATCCTGATGGATGTGAGGGGCAAAGGATGTTTAATTCACGTACTTGTGTCACCGACTGTCCCCACATGTCACTTGGGTGCCCAGGGCAGGGTCTCCCGAGGGAGGGGTAGCTCCTGGCTTGTCCCCAGTGCTCTGCCCTGACAGTGTTGCCCTTTGCAGCAGGACCTGCTGCATTTTCAGGTCCTTCCTGGTAGCAAAAGGGGGTTTTGCCATGGCCACGCTGGCTCTGGGCCCATCAGGATGCCCAGATCGCAGCCTCAGTCCTGCCCAGGGTGTGGGGGCTGATTCCCCCTCCCCAGTGCTGTGCTGGGAGGTGACAAGGTGTGTGTGTCCTTGCAGGGAGCAGGCAGAAGAGGAGGTGCAGGACCCCAAAGCACGAGCCAAAGCCAACTGGCTGAGAGCCTTCAACAAGGTCTGCATGCAGCTGCAGGAGGTGAGGACCCCCCTGGCCACTGCCCTGGGCTGGGGGCACGGCCCCTTCCCTCGCCCTGGCAGCTTCCAGGGACATCCACTCCCCAGGGACCCATCCTGACCTGGGGGCCCCCAGCAGTGGTGGCCCCACAACCCCATTCCTGCCAAGTGGGACCCCCAGAGGGGCCTGGAGTGCTGAGGACCCCCCCGTGTGTGCTGCATGCGTGTGCTGGTGCGAGCCCCCCACCCTGTCCCCTCTGTTGAGTTGACAATATTTTGTTTTGTTTTTAGACTCCATCCTCCATCTTTTCTTTTTGTTTTGGCTCTGGATTCGCTCCCCGGGGTCTCGATCCCCCTCCCCACCGCTTCTCTTTTCAGTTGTCCACCACCATGGCCCTTGCACCCGCGTCTCCCCTCCCTGCAGGGAAGGGGTGTAGCCTGCCTGCAGGTAAGCATGTCCCCCTGGAACCTCCCAGCAACCTGTGTGCCTTCCCTGTGTGTGTGTGTGTGTGTCTGTGTGTGCAGGGATTGCCCCACAAGGGCAATGGTCTCTCTGCTCCCCCAAAATAATCCCCTCTTGGAAGGGGAGGTGTCACTGCTGGACTATCCCTGCACACACCTCCACTTCCACATGCTCTGGCTTTTCCCTGCTCTTCTCTCCAACTGCTGTGGGTCCCTGAGGACCAACTGAGCCCTTATGATGCTTCTCCACTGCCCCAACCCCCAAATTTTAGCACGGTGTAGCTGCCCACCCTGCTTTGCCAGCCCGAGCCCCTCTGCTGAAGCCCACCCACCGCTCACCCAGCTCAGCCTCCTCAAGATATTTATTCCCAGTGCCAGCTCTTTGCTGGGAAGAGCCCTGTTGGTTTTGGAACACTTTGCTCTGCCCACCCTGCCCATCCTCCCGTGCTTCCCCAGTGCTGGGAGCACAGTGGGGTGCTCACTGCCCTGGGGGGGCTGCCCCCCACGCTGGTGGATCCCACCGTGCCCCTGACACTGTCCTGTGTTTTTCAGGCCCGCGGGGAAGGTGATGGAGAATCCAAATCCCTGTGGTTCAAAGGCGGGTGAGTACAAGGGGAAGCTGGAACGTTCTGCCCCCCGGGATCTCAGCCCCCTCCTCATTAGGATGTGATTAACAAGCTCAACAGTGGGCCTGTGTGGGGAAGGGTTGCCGAGCTGTGGGCGTGCAGGGGGCCAGATTTTGGGGCTGAATGCTGGTCGATGTCTGGTGCTTCTGGAGGAGCCAGCAGAGATGACATTGCTCTGTGTCCCCAGGAGCTGCTGCTGAGGGGGAGAGCGAGAGGTGAGTTGGGATGGGACTGAGTTGGGGTGGCAGCTCCTGCTTCCCTCATGGAGTGATGCCATGGGGAATCCTGAGCCTCTCACCTCGATGGGCTGGGGGTCTCAGTCCTGTTTTGCCCTCGCAGATGGCTCTGCCATGACCCCAGGCAGAATGTGGCAGTTTTCCATGAGAATTCCCAGATCACACCAGGGATTTCTCACAGGCAGGGCTGCAAAGCTGAGTTCCTGCCTCAGTTTCTCTTGCAGCAGAACTCAAGGCTCACATGCTCAGTGCTCCCCTCTGGGGTCCCAGAGTGAACCTCTAGCTCTCCAGCCCCAGGCTGCAAAGCCAGAGCTGACTAGCCAAATGGGCTGCTTTTCTCCTGAGTTTCACTGCTGCACTTCACATGGGGAAAATCACAGTTTCCTGCCCAAATCCCCTTCCCCCTCAGCTTTTAGTCCGGTGATCCCTGTCCCAGTCAGGGTGGTGGTGAGGTTGGGGGCCCCATGGACGGGTCCCAGCCACAAAGGGATTGCTCTGCAGTTCTATCTGCCAAATCCTAGATAGTAGGAAGAAATTCTTCTCTGAGAGGGTGGTGAGGCCCTGGCACAGTTTACCAGTGCAGCTGTGCCTGCCCCACCCGTGGAAGAGTTCAAGGCCATGTTGGACGGGGCTTGGAGCAACCTGGGCTAGTGGAAGGTGTCCCTGCCTGTGGCAGGGAGTGGAATGAGGTCAGACCCAAACCAGGCTGTGACTCTACGGAATCCCGAGTGACCATGGGGCAATAATGCCTCAGTTTCCCCTTCCCCTCTGACTCTCCTCTCTCTTGCAGGCCTGGTGGTGGGCTGATCATTATAGACAGCATGCCGGACATTCGCAAGCGAAAACCCATCCCCCTAGTTAGCGATTTGGTGAGGTTCCTCCTAAGGCGCCGCCCCCACAGCTGCCGGCTTCGCTCCCGCTGCGCCCCACCGGACTGCCCCGCTCCCCACCTGCCTCTAACATGGCTTGTGTTCTCTTGTTTTCTTTCCTGTGGCCTGGCTGGGCTTCCCCCGCGGCAGGGGGGCGGCTGTAAGGTTTCTGCGCTGCATTAACAGCATGCCCGACATTAAACCTGGACGCAAATCTCTCCCTCTAGTCAGCGATCTGGTGAGCGCGGTCCGAGGGGTTAAAGAGAGAGCGCCCTTGGGTGCTGCCGGCCAGCCCTCAGCTCCCCCAGCCCTGCCAAAGGGGGGCGGGGGTGTCCCAGGCTGGTTTGGGGGGCTCCTGGCCCTCCTTGCAGTGGGGGGAGCTGTGAGGATGGCACAGCTGGGCTCTCCCTACCCGAGGGTGCTTCTCTTTAACGGAGCCCCAGTCCCTACACCAAGCATCAGCCCGAGGCTTCCCGGGGCTGCTTCTGGTTTCTCATTTTTTTGCTGGTGCTGTGCCCCTGGTCCTTCCCTGTCCCACCTGCTGTAGGTGTCTGCAGCTTGGACCATGCTGGTGCTGGACAGATGGACCTCTGTACGAGGGGAGGGGTGGTAGTGGCTTTTCCAAGCTGCCCAGACCCTCTGGTCCCATCCCCACTGCCCTGCTGTGCTTTCACAGCCCAGTGTGTGGGGCTGGGAACCCCCCATGTATGGACCCCCCATGCTGGGATCCCTTCCAACCTCTGGGCTCTAATGCACAGGATTGCTCTGCTGTCCTCTCCCTGGTGACAAGAGACAGCAATTTTGGAAACCAGACACCCCTTACCCCCAGAATTAGATGCCCTTCCCCTCCTTCTCCCTTTCTTTACACCTTGCCAGCTCCACTGTGTGCCCTCCCCAGGGTACCACCCTCCTGTCCCCAACC